GGGGGGGGGGGGGGGGGGGGGGGGGGGGGGGGGGGGGGGGGGGGGGGGGGGGGTTTACAGGACAGGACTTGACAGTATTGTCCCATATCAGGTAATTAACAATCGGACATCCCGGGTGGGAGGAGGTGAAGGGTGGGAGCAGGGAGGGTTACAGGAGGCCAAGAGACATGGGACAGGACATGAAAGTATTGTACCATATCAGGTAATTATCAAGGGCAGTTCCCTGAGTGGGAGGGGTGTAGGGTGGGGGGGGGTGGGGGGAAACAGGAGGCCAAGAGATGGGATGGGACTTGGATCTGCAGGGGTATCATTGTTAAGTTTAATTTGAAAAGCTTGCTTCACTTTATCATAACAAAGTATATGGTAATTCATCGATCTTTGCGATGGGGAAAAAATAACCCCGCTCGGCTGTCACCTTGATTGGATAGTAAACGATTGTTGTAAAATCGCTTTTTGATCGATTTAAAAACCGGGTGCATAAATTTGAAAACCACCTAGAACAACCTTAGACTGCCACATTAATCCAATACATAGCAAAAATAAACCATAAAAAGTGGTTAAAGCATTCAAACCGAATGTCGTAAAGTCCCCATATACCTCCATACAGACAATTTTATTGTTCGATTTGAATGCTTTAACCACTTTTTATAGTTTATTTTTGCAATGTATTGGATTAATGTGGCTGTCTAAGGTTGTTCTAGGTGGTTTTCAAATTTATGCACCCGGTTTTTAAATCATAAAGCGATTTTATGTCAACTGTTTACTATCCAATTTAGGTGACAGCTGAGCATGGTCCTGAAGGAAAATCTGTTATCATCGATTATATAGTATTACTAGTATTTAACTCAAACATTTTCCTGGCAGGCCTTCAAGACATCCGATGGCTACCTAACAGTGGGAGCAGGCAATAATGTCCATTTTGAAGTTCTTTGCAAGGTGCCGTGTCAGGATTATTTTGTCTTTTTTCATTTCTCACATTTAAAGATTGATTGATTCAGATCTGTATTGTAAATTATCTTTAATTAAATAAAATTTTATTTTCTTTATTTAAATAAAATCTTTTTCCATGCGATCCAATTTTGAAATTGAAGGAGTTCACTTCTGGAATTCATATTGCAACAGGGCTGCCTTGAGGAGGTTTTATTCTGTTAGTAAAATTTTAAATTACTTTTTTTTTGTTACAGAGAATTGGTATGGAAGAACTTTTGAAAAATCCTAAATATTCCAGCAATAAAAGTCGAGTAAAGCACAGACAGGAGTTGATAGAGGCGCTGGCACAAAGGTAATTTTCTCAATAGATATTTGTTGAAAAAGAAGACTTAAATACTTGTGCCCCTTTTAGTAAAATCCAATACCCACAGTGTTAGGGCCTCCCCCTCTTCCAAATTGGTATTAATAATAATAATAATAATGATAATAATAATACTGCCGATACGGATATCACCAAGTTAAGCTAATTCAACTTCTCTAGAAACGGGCTTTGATTCACAGTGTGGTGCTATTAAGAGTAAGGGTTCTGCCAGCCAGGCCTACCCCTACCAGACACATGCCACGTCTGGTAGTTGGGTAGGCCTGGCAGGTGCTCCTTTTCAGATTCATGAAGAGGTTAAAGGGGCTGGCCATCATGTCCCTGAATTAGGCAGAACCAGGTCCTCTAGAAACACGGTTTAAATATAACTTATGGTGACACATATTTTTAGGTTCTCCCAGAAGTCCACTTCAGAGTGGCTGGACATTTTTGAAGGGTGTGGCATGCCCTATGGCCCTATTAACAACATGGAAGGCGTGTTTAACGACCCCCATGTCTTACAGACTGGTATTGTCCAAAAGATGGCGCACCCAACAGCAGGAGATATCCGAGTGGTCGGTAAGAAAAAAATATTAAACTGTGTATTTTTGGGAAATAAGAAAAAATTAAATCTGGGGGCCTTTCAAAAAACGATCAAGTGGCCATTGCAGCACATATGGTAGGCCCCTCTGTGAAATAATGATACTGTGCTTTCATATCATGTGGATCATACTGCATTCATATTATTTGAATTACTTCTACTTATTTGTATAAGACTGTAATTTTTATTAAATACTAATTATTTATGAAAGCTTTAGGTTACCCTCAGACCACAGAGTCCAGTTACAAAATTATAGTAGACACATAGGGTAGCTTTGGGTTATGTTTTTTAGTTTACACGTAATGACTGTTTGGCGCAATATTTTTCATTCCATTTGTCTGAAGTGCGACATATACATTTTGTTTCAGGTCCAGCAGTAAGGTACTCGGACTTTGACCTGGTCCTCCAGTGCCCCCCTCCAACCCTGGGGCAACACACGGGGGAGGTGCTGCAGGAACTGCTGGGGTTTTCATCTAGTCAAATACAAGGATTGGCTGAGAAGGGCGTGGTCGGTCTATAAGAGGGCGGGGCATGATGATGAAGTTTTCATCCAATGAAATACAAGGATTGGCTGAGAATGACATGGTTGGTCTAAAAGAGGGCGTGGCATGAAGATGACCATCTTTTCTAATTTCTATGTACTTTACGTATTTTACTTACGGTGCATTTGAGTAATGAATAGGTATGCAAAGTACAGAGCCGGGTTCGATATTACTGCCGGAACAGATTAAAGTAAGAATAAGAAATTTTGATTCTGGGCAGTTTGAAAGATCAATTTTGATTATACGGTAATTGTAACCACATAGAAAACCGTGATTCTGGCTTGCTTGGACAACTCGGCGTATTGATGAACTCGAGATCGTTATGCATGGGGACACGGTAATGTGATAGATGGCTAGAGGCTTGGTGGAAGTATCATACCTGAGACAAAAATTATTACTAAACTAATGATTGACTGCAAGGGGCGTGCTGCTATTTAGAGGGTTGTGTGGCTTAAAGGTTTGTGCTAGTATCGCTTTTGAGTATAAATCTGACACTAGTTTTGAATTAATTTTGAAACTGTGTAAGTCTGAATTCAAGCATAAGTTATCTAGTAATTATAGTAGGTAATAAATGGGAATATACAAATATGAATGTACGAATTTGACTGTGATATTTCAAGAGGGATATTTTAAGTGGCCAATGTGACTTATAGTAATTAAAGTTAATAAATGAAATGTGATTCTCTCACTTTTGTTTTATATTTTATTACATAAGATATGGCTGAAAAAATGCTGAACACCACCTGGCCAAGCCGGATTGGTCCTCTCTGACACATATTTAACAGGAAATTTCAGGGGGGTGTTTTTTCCAGGCTTATTAGATATTTTAATAAAGTAAATGTACCTTTTTATTTATCAAATACCTGTTTTACCCCCTCGTTCAGAAGGCCCTATTTTGCACACAGAATTACTGCCCTCTCTTACACTAAATGTGAAATTCAAGCCGTAGGCTAATTTTTATATGTTACATTATATTTCTTCCATTTTGATTAAAACTGAAGTTTGAACGGTGAGTGGCACATAAATAGGGATTTTGTATGTTCACAATTTTTAAATTAAATCTGTCAAATTGAACAAAATGATTTGCTCATAACTTTTGGTAGTTTATTGGTCTTCTTATTTTTCTGAATGTTAGCCATTTGTTTTCACCATAATTTTGATTTTGTATGTTTCTTTCACAATACATTTGACCTTTGTGAGCTGCCAACCATTTTAATGTGTTTTAAAAATCAATTCCCCCTAAATTAGTTCTCAAGCACGCTGATAACGTTAACGAATCATTAAATAAAAAAGACAAAAGTCTAACGATGTTTTTTTATTTCTATACACAGATTACGAATTCCACAAATAGAGATTTTCAAAATATATGATAATATTCTTTATGGCACATAATTCAGTTGGAGCAGAGCTAAACATAAAACATAATAATAATAAAAAAAACTTCGGTGAATCTTTCCGACATATCTGAATCTAAAAGATAAACAGTATGAATTTTCAGTAATAAAAATAAGTAAACAGGTCATGTTGTCAATAAGAATCGTATTTTAAACACAAAATATTTAAACGTGATTTTAACACATTTTAATATGGTTAGAACACACCATTGCAAGTAAGGTGTTTGAGTGCACAGAAAATATCAAATATCAAAAAAGTTCAAAGAGAGTTTGCACCATTGAATTTTGTCTTCATTGAGTATTTCTCCCCAGCCATTCGTCTCTCCTTTATATTCTACTTCAATAGGTCTTTCCTCTTTTTTTTTTCTTGTATCTAAATATTTTGCAGGATTTCACGAAAAGTTGCAAATTAATTAATTCCTGTGCTTTATAACAATGCATATATTCAGTGTTTTTCGCTTTACCTCAGTCCGGTTAAACAACTGCATTAAGTACGCAAGTCATAACGTAGGACTGCACAAGTAACATTTGACTCCACTTTTAAAGAGATCTTCGTTGAAAAAACTAATCCCATAACTCAGAAACACGTGTTTTTCCTCGTATAGCCTATAATGTTGCCATATGGAATTTGAACATTTACTGTACAGCTAAATCTTAAACCTAAAGAATGAATGGTCTTAGTTTCATTGTCATGTTCGAATTTTTACGCCTAAACGTATATAGCATATACATGTAACCAATAAACATTATCCACAAAGACTGTTTGTTGACAATCAAAAACACGTTGATATAAAACTATGTATTTCATAAGTTAATTAATAAATTAAAGAGTATATTTACACGTGGAGTACCTTATATTCAGCACCTATGAAAGAAATGTACAGATTTGTCATGGAGAGGCCATATCGTCGACATTATTCAAAGGCTCACAGTGCGCTTTAGATGTATATATTTCTACATATAGCAAATAAAACTAATTTTCCTCGGCATCAGCAGTTTTCATTTTAACAACAAGGCCTACCACATCCTAAGCCTTTGATACAATTACCATAAATAAACCAGTTTTCGGAACTAGAAACATACGTGTATTACTAAATAAAAGCGTAATTCTGTGAACGGTTTTGGATATGTTATATCTTAGAAATTACGAGGGAAATTGGTTCGTTTTTGCTATATTAAGGTACCGGTCTAAAGCGCATTATGTGCTTTTATCAAGAATTACAGTAAGATTACGACGGTATACAACTTGTAATAGTTGGTACATATACTGTACTGTACATGGTACGTGGACCCTTTTGTACAAACATGGAATGTTATCACACAAAAAATAGCAGGTATTCGGACACGCACTTGGGCCGAGTCTTAAACGTGTTCACAGAGAGGCTTATTACTATTCCTGTATATAACAGTTCTTGTGTTATGCCTCTAAAGAAATCCACTTTAAATCAAATCGAATTTCATCCACGGAGTGTCTACAGAGGGATTTCTCTAGACTGGCAATTTTCTACCGTCGTCCTATAACGCAGTTAGACACGAACTTGCATGACCACATACGCACAGACATTAAGAACAAGGGGAGAGGGAGAGGGGGGTCCATTAAAATGTATTCTACATATGGCAAGTTTTTCGCATTGTCAAATTTGTCGTTTGTTATATTGGTCTTACTGATATACCGGCACCCTGTTTTAAGGCCAAAACTTGGAACGCCCTCACGAAATAACACATGCCCGTGACTTCTGCGCCATTCGTCCCTTGCCAACAAACCGTGACACCTGCATAGCGCCATCTAGACTCAGCTTTCCATTGGCTCGTCCGGAAGCGCTTCCCTGCTTGGGACTACTTCCAGGGCTCGAGACGTTATTCTGTCGGCTTGGCAAGGACTGCAGAAACTCTTCGCCTCCCAGGCTGTCGGGATCGGCAATGGTAAGCATAGTCAGGCTTCCGTCGACGGCCCCAATCACAATGGAGGAGCCGCCGCCAGTGCCCGCTATTGCGGTGATATCCGCATGCGCCTTGTAATTGGCGATCCGTTTACCGTCCGTGACCCTGAAAACCTGAATAGTGCGGTGACCGGAATGGTAGTAGATGACATGCTGGTCATTCTTGGTGAACATACAGTTCACGCTGAAGACTCCCTCGGCCACTCTTGGGATTAAGGTCTTGGCCACCTTCCCCGTTTTGAGATCCAGAAGTTCTAACCCGCCGCGAGAGGGGGCGTATAGCCCGTATTTACCATTCTGCGTGCAGAGTCCGTTCCATTTGGGGATGGAGCGCACCAGAGATTTTTTCTTGATGTCAAAAATGTTGCCCTTTTCGGAGTCAATGAGTGCAACGTGGGTGGGTTCATTGGGCATTGCCACTAACTGGGTGAATTCCTTGTAACTGTTATACTTCAGCTGGACATTGTAGATGAAGGCACCCGTTTTGCCTTGAAACACGCCCAGAACTTCGTCATTCTTTTGCACAGCGGCGACCACGACGAAGACACCGTCCTTGCTTAGCACCGCCCTTTTGAACTTCTTGAAGCTATACTCAAAACTGTATACAGTGTCCCCTTCGGGTATGGTCCTGCAGGTCACGCGGGCTTTGGTGCCTGCAGAGCGAGAGATGACCGTGTATTTCTCATCCCCTTCGTTCAACTCCAGCTGAAGCACCTCCTTCTCCGGATCCTGCCGAACGATCTTCGCCTGCGGGAGGTCCCAGATAAACACGTTGTTTGACTCGGCGCTGATGACGTACTGAGCTTCCGCTGTTATGCACGCATGCGTGACTATGGAACTGTGGGAACTGCTTGAGAGAATCTTCTGAAGGTGTCCGTTTTCGAGATTCCATACCCCAATGTTGTTCCGGGTGGTTGTTACCCCCAAATAAGCGTAGTTGGCCAGGCTGAGAGATTCTATGGGTTTTTCGTGGCGGTCTATTGTGTGAACATCCTCGTAGATGTTGTCGAAGTTCCATACCTTTATGGTTTTGTCGATTGAAGAAGAGATTACCTGTGATAAAATATCAGCAAAGGTGATTATTCTGGATATATCATGAAATGAGACAAGTTCACATAAATGGTAGAAAAAAATAAGCAACAGCCCAAATAAATACTTGCATTTTGATAATCTGTCCTTCCTTTTCGCTAAAATGACAGAATGTGTTGAAAACAATTGCTATATATAAATCAATGTCCAACTGAATATGCAATAATTTGGGCTAAAATTGAATTATAATTACAAACCACCAGCAGGCCTACCTTATTCATGTTGTTGGACGTCACAGCCTGTAGCGCAATAATACGCCCGAAATGTGCATCAAGGGTCTTCACGAGATTCCCATTCTTGACGTCCCAGACATAGAGATTCTTCCGCACACCCGCCACCACGAAATAGCTGTGCTTTGTGAAGTTAACGACGCCGGTAAGTTGGTTCTTGGTCGGAATGTTCCGGATTCCAGACGGAAGTTTCAGGTGCTTGACCTTTAAAATAGTTATGATAAGGGTCTATTCACTTTAAAATGCACCTGTTATGTAATTAATCAGCATTGTATTTTGAAATAAATGCTTGATAGCCAACACGTACGCAGACGTAATATTCAAAATAAAACATTACATGCTACCTAGTTCATATTGTTGAAAACCCTGACATAGCGCAATAATGCATAAATAACAGAAATACAAAAGTGACTGCATGAGTTATCCTATCCTCACTATTCCGGGGTAATGCTAGAGTAACCTATCATCGCTCTCCTCACCTTGTCTGTCTTCAGATCCCACAGTTTGTACCCGGACGCTATGGTAGCCACGAGGTACGTTTCCTCCTCGCACAGAGTCAGGGCAAACACTGGGTCGTGGTTCTCGTCCAGGGTGCGGTTGTACCTAGGGGTGGTTAGGAATGGGTTAAAACCATACTAAGTGCGATCGATCTCAATATTTGACCCTCGGACTAGTAAGTCCACTGTTCTGAATGCGGCCTGTATAGCACAAATTGAATTTTTATTGCAAATGTACATTCCTAAAAGTCAAGATAGGCGCACTGGTGTGCAATATTCAAAACTGTTATAGAATTACGATCTATATATATACTACAGTGGTCGGAATAATTTTGTTTCCGTTGTACACCGGTGTAACAACGTTCGAAATGTTTTACATGTATGTATACACAGTTTTTTTAATTCTAACTCACAAGGAGACTGATTATGGTATATACCTCTCAAGACAGCGAAAATTGTTTAAAGATCCTAGTTTCCAGAACAATGTGGGTAGGGTGTGCTTTTTCCAGATACTCATTATTTGCTTTACAACTTCCACGCGTTTTGATTCATATAATTCAATATTAGAAATTAAGGAGAATTATCTGTCTACTGTCTACAGTTCTTAAAGCATCATTCTGGTTGTAACAATGACATTGTGCTGATTTTATTAGTTGCAGTACAGCATTCCGGAATATTTAATTCTTAGCGCTATTACATGTTTTGTAGGGGTGAAATAATCTTAACCGCCTATGCCAAGGGTACCACATGATGTGGTACTGTGTTTGTTGTTTGATTCTTAGGACACCTACCTCCAGGCTCCGTTGTCTCTCTTGTAGACGGCGACACAGTTGTCGCTGATTTCAATACAGCAGTAGATGGTAGACATGTCTTGAGCGATGGCCATTGCACTGTGGAATTCGAACGAGTCCACCGTCCCATTTTGCACCTGATGCAAAGAATTGGAAAGACGTGTAAACCGACTGATCATATTATACATTAATCAAAACTCGTTTTAAGTCAACGGGGGACCGAAAGGGTGAGGGTGCATAGGACACCTGGCACGCCTCCTCTTACTTTCTGAGGTAACCAATGGACCAGAGCACAGCAAAAAGAGACCCGACTACTTTTTAATAATTGTCTCGTGTCAAATATTTTTACTGGTACTGTTGTACCCTACTCCCCCCAAATTCTTTGGGAAAATCCTGGAGCTGCCATGTTTTACTTCCAATGAACTTCAATGCATAAGGTAAATAAGTGTGCGAGTCTTCGTTATTGACGCAGCACAGCTGGTATCGCAGGTATACACTCACCTCAAACGTCATGTCATTATCATCCTCCTCTCCACTCTTCAGCACCATCACGTGTTGCCCATCATTCCCAAGATGCATTTGTATTAATGGCGACTCTTTGGGAACCTGGGCCTTTGATACGAGCACCGCATCCATCGTGTACAGGTACCACTCGTATGCTGTGTACACTGCAAAATGCGTGTTGCTGACAGAACTCCCCAGAATTGGCTCGGAACCCTCTACAACTTTCTCAAGCAGCATGAAATCCCCAGTCATTATAGTACAGATGACAACCTGGTTGTTATTGGTGTACCCCACCGCCATCTTGTCGTTGGGGCTGAGACCCAAATTCTGCATAATGCCTTCGATGCCTGGTATCACGGTCCTGAATACCTCCCCGGTGCTCAAGTCCCAAATTATAATCCGGTTGGAGACTGAGATGAGGTAACGGGTGTCTGACGTCACGCCAATCCCAAAAGGTGCAAACGGATGTCCCTCTAGGCTATACTGCAGTGGCCCTCCGGGAGTGTGGAGGCAATGGTATGAGGGGACCAGCGCACAGTACTGCACCCCGACACTATCGCATTGCTGAATCAAGGCCCGTATCTTTTGGTGCGTGTTATAATACGGCAGCAACCTCCCCGTTATTTGTGGACCCAGCATGGCCGGGTGATGGGCCAAGACAGAACCGGACAACCGCAAGGTGTCTGATAGCAACTTGGTGTCCTTGTCGAAGACATAGTCGAGGGCGTCCTCGAAGTCCTGTAGGGAGGCCTGGAGGGGCATGCTGCTGAGTTTGGCCAGGAGGAACTGGTAGTTGAAGAGACAGTGTTGGTAGAGATCGTCGTACCTGTGGGATCGGATCAGCTGGAAGGGTAGCTCACTGAGTTTGCGCAAGTTGTACCTGCAGGGAACAAAAAATGTCACAATAGTGTTCATTAGCAATCACCTTTTTAAGCACAGTGTATGCGATGCTGTCTTGTAAGTCTACAATATATGTTCTTTACCTATGCGCAGTGCTATTCTTTGTAGTAATAAAGGGTTTATCTACGCCAAGCTATAAATCCTACGTACAACTAATATCCTTTGAATTGGGGTGGGATGAAAGAGGGGCTGGAAAAGGGAAGCATATGGAGATCTCTCTTAATGGAAGGCAATCACCAAGAGATAGATCAAAGTGGTTTGTAATTATTCAATCAGTGGTTTACCTGGTAACTTTACCCTGGTCGTCATAGAACATAGCAGGTTGGATCGGCAGTTTTCGGTCACTTTCGCCGTACTTGTCCTCGAGTCCAAACCTTTGTCTTTGCAAATCTGAGTATTCAAATGGTTTTGGTTTCCCGCCGCCCCAAGTCCCCAGGAAATATTCGGCAATGTTCGAGTGTATCTCGCTGAGGAAGTTAAGATTTCGGAAGTAGCGTTCACGAGATGCGTCGATAAACTGGCGATGGTACCAGTTAACCACGCTGACCCCGTCTGCTTCCCTTTCAGACAGGTACCCAGGGAGGTCACTCCGTAACCTGGTCCAAAGCAGCGGTGGGATGCGCCTCACTGGCGGCAGATGGTACTGGTAGACGTCATTCAAAACCTTTTCGTCCAAAGAGAGCAGATCCTCGAGCTCTGCCTCACTGACGCCACTCTTGGACGCCGTGATGTACCCGAGTGCGTGAGACACCAACGTTTTGCCGTGCTGGATCTCAATTCTGTCAAAGAGCTTGATGATGGTGTCGTGGATTGTATAGCATAGAGTCGTAAGTTGCGGCTTGCTATAGGATTTCCAGCGGCAGATCTCGTCACAGACCAGCTTCACAAATAAAGGGAGATTACACTTTGAGATTGCCTCGTTGACGATTTTCCACTGCTCCTCTGTGATTGACCTTAAATGATTGATTTATAAATAATATGACAATATGAATAATATACCAAGCACTCTCAAATCTTTTACACAAGAGAGGAAGAAGAGAGCAAAAACTTTTTTCGTCATATTAAGGAATACTTTACACAAATACCTATATATTTGCTCGTCTAAACCATGACATTGGGATATGAATCACGCTCCAAGGGTTTATATTTAGTTATAAAACTATATTACTTTTACACAAGGGACAAAAAAACTATTTTGTCGTATATAAGGGGATAGTTTCACACAAGTACCTATTTGCACGTCCCAGCCACGACCTCAGTATGGCACTTCCAAGGTCCTGACCAAGAGGAGTGATGATAACGAAATTCCCCTCTTCCGATATCATCCTCTTCAGGGTGTCTAAAATGCTGAAATAGTTCGGAAGCGTAGAGACTATGATGCGGACATTCTTCGGAAGACTCATCGGTAACCATGCCAACTGGTGGGCCCCGTCCGTTCCAGATAATTGATCCAATGAGTCTAAGAATATCACCAGAGGGCGCAACTCAGTCATGCACGTCAGGAGCTTCTTGAAATGCTGGCACAAGGGGGCAAGTTCGTTTGGAATTTCGGTCATGTCTTGGCAGTAGACGTGCGCTATCTGGTGGCAGAGACTTTTTAGTAGTGGAATGATGCTGGAGCTGTCAGGGGAAGTTCCCAGGAAACGGATGATCATGACTGGGGCCACTGTGTCCGGGTACCAGTCAGGTACCTGGAATAGAAAAGAAGCATGTGACTTTGGTACATTGTGTTAGGTGTGAATTTTGTGGTCATTAGTACCTCGCCACCACCACATATACACACACACAGTGCACAAATCTTAGATCCCCCAGGACCCGACATCCCGCGTAGACTGTCACCATATGACACTGATGACAACCCAAAATCATTTCACCTGGAGAAGGCATTGTGGTATCATAGAAACGTCGTGTTTACGTTTCTAGGAAGGGTCCAGTATAGGAGTTTATTTTCGTCATCTAACTCCATTCATACTATAAGTGAACACAAAAAATATTTTACACCTGATCAATTAGTGATTTGCTTTAAACCTTCAACTATAATGTCATCTTCTAAAATTCCTAGATGAACGATTGTTTAAATATTTTTTTACGTTAGTTTTACATTGTTATCGTATGAAAGACTTTAATACCATTAAGATTTACGTTTGAAAAGCAGAAAACCAAAAATGACAAATATGAACATACCTTACTAGCCCCTTTGGCCATGAGGGACGTCTTCCCGCACCCGCTTTCTCCGCTTAGCACCAGTGGTTCCACCGAACTTCCCATGATATACTGGTGGATTTTCTCTACAGTCTCTTCACGTCCCTGGAACACTTTACAAAATGTCTCACAGGCGTGAAGATGCTGCAATACGTCACTATACACGCTATCGCTAGTCAACTGCTCGTGTCTATCCATCGCCTGGTCTACGAGCCGTATGATGTCATTGAAATAGTGCTCGCAGAACTCTTTTAAATATTCCGCGTGAGCCTCTTTGTCAATTCCTTCCTTTCCGCTCCATTCAACCTCAAATCTCGCGATATTTGAAGCCGGAAGTTTCTTTGGAATCTTTTCGTCCCGGAGAGCGTTCAGGTATTTCTGAGCCTCGTTGTCGACGCTTCTGGCGGCAATGTCAACAAATTTTGAAGCAAATCGGAGAAGAGCTATGTTCACATTTTTGATATTGCGGATATATGCCAGGCAGTGTTCTTCTACATTTTCAGCCAATAAAAGGCCGTGCTGTATCTCTCGCTCTGTCACTGAAATAACAATAAATATGAGTGAAAATATCAAGGTTCTAACACATAAATTAGGCAAAAAATATCCAGAAAAACATAATCATTTACACCTCAAATAACTAAAAAACCTTCCAACACATCCATAGGGCCTCGGGTATCGATAAGTGGGCCTAAGTTGACCCCCGACATAGGTACCACATACGGATAGACCCCAAAATACTAAGGTTTGGGTTCACCCAACAACAGTGCCACGTGGGTAGGACTTTGGCCTCACGTAGACCTAGGAATAACCACGCATCACGGGGAAACCTTTACCACGCCCAACTGAGAGCCATAGATAGGTCCAGAAAAGCCAAACCTTCACGTAGAGGTCCAAAGTGCATGTGGGTAATGACGTGTAGCACAGGTCATGTTCTAATAGCATGGGACGACTGAGCGTCGCTAATCGCCATCTCTCAAGCCGTAGGACGAATGGGAAAAAAAGCAACTTAAGAACTGGAAGTGCAAATGAACACAAAACCAGTAAAGCGTGTCATACGAACCGGTGTAATGACTATCAACACGCTAAATCCTTTTAGTCTTATCAAAGATGCGTACCCGAAATGCACAAGCTCTAGAAGACAACTGACAGATAAAAGGTATGGTCTGTTGAAAAATTGCTTCAACTGTTGTATGTGATCACTGGCCCTTTCAATAGGCGAAAGCGTGTTTCTTGTAAACTGAATCATCTCCAGTTTAGACACTCGTGCACTTGGTCCAACATATCTCTAGAAACGGACATTCCCATGTAAATGGATTATGGATTCTTATACAAGCCAACAGCGTAATAAATGCTTTCCTCGGTGTAAGCTGGTCTACGTAAAAAGGTTCCTACAAGAGATTGCGTGTTGAATAAACTGTTCATTTAGTCTTACGCGAGTCTTGAAAAACCGGATGCTTCCCATTGAAGACACGCCCCGGCGCTTAGTGGTTTGATAAAGTTCTTGGTAATTACCGTGATTAACAATTTGTTGTTCCTAGCAACACAGAGATTGGGTTAAAATGCACAGAAGTTGTCCATGCGGATAAGGCATAGTTGAGCGCAAACGGATTTCTCGGAAAATAAGTTTTGACTGATTTTTTTTTTTTTTTTGCAGATTTCTGTGACGTTGATAAATTAAGATTCCATAGACCTCATAAGCTACACTGTACTTAATGTAAAAATCGACAGGAAATTTTCGTTTTATGAAAGGCAAATACTGATGTGACGTATTCAAATTATTCCGAAAACGTACTTATTAGTTTTTTGTAAGAGGCATTCGTATAAATCATCAACTCAGGGCACTTATCCTTGAAGTAAATTAATTAAGGTGTTGATATCCATTGGTACAAAAAATGGTAAGAATTTTTTTTAATAATGTTTTTAATAATTACACTTACTTCAAAACAATGAAAAGCTACACTGGGAACGGCTGCGTAGGACTATACCATTTTTATAAAAACGATCTTGTACCTTTCGTCTATATCAAACATAAACCAATAAACGTTACTAAATATTTAGATTCCGACAATCAACAACTTCAGAAGATGAGGCATCTTCCTAAATCTGTTTTTTTTTTTT